GATAAAGGGAGAGAGGAGGGAGAGGGTGAGGGAGTGCCGCCGTGAGCCCCAAGCGCTGCAAGGAATGCTGGAGTGCATGGTTAGCAAATGAGATGCAGTTCAGATGCAAAGCTCCTGGAACCCGATGATAAAATGTGGGGTGGTGGAGAAGGTGGGGTTTTCGTCACAGACGCACCAGCGCAGCATAGATGAAAATTCCAGATTGGATAAATGCAAGCAGATGGGGCGGGTAAGAAGGTTTTCATGGCTGAAGTGCACTTCAGAGGACACTGATGCTATCGTAGGCTTTCAAACAAGCATTTCATTGTCAAGATAATTACTTTTCATAGCTAGTTTATTATTCATCACATATAAAAGTAAGCTACCTACATGGCTCAAAGATAACGTTTTGCAGGTGAAATTATTTGAACTAGTTTTTTCTTCATGTTTTGTCTTCAACAACCCTGAGGCACTTGCACAACCCATAACTTTACATGGTTTGGCACATAATTAAATAAACATGTCTAGGAGAAATCAACCACACCGCCATTCCGTTATCAGCCCTTCCTTCCCCTTCTCCGCCAATAACTCACGGCAGGGCAACCGCAGTAGCCGCGACTGTGCGAAACGCGACAGGAAGTGGGATTAGAAAGCGGCCGCCCTGCCATAGTTTGCGCTACCGCGGCTACCGGTCGACCGCTGCCAAAGTAGCCAACGACGTTTCAGATGCGACTCGCGCTTAGTTATAGTCACTGCATAAATTGTCACTGTCGTCTTGCGTGACACATGTTTACGGTTATGCCTTTTATTTTATAGAATGCATAGCGCAACATAATTATTGGTTCAACTTCCGATTCGTGATAAGATGTGGAGGTAGAGGTAGGCGAACAAATAGCGTAGTCTGCGAAAAAATTGACAGTGGCTGAACGCAAGGACATCATTATCGTCGCTTTTTTGGTGAAAGGAACGGCGTAAAAATTGTGTATCAGTTTTTTTTACCTTAACGACAGCCCGACAGGAGTTTCCAGTACTTCAGAATAAGTGTCAGTAGCATCTGTCCCGATGTTATCTGCCAAGGTAACATACCGAAATAGCGTTATCTGATTAATCCATCTGATCACAGATTGTTAGATACTGCGATACAAACTTTGGTAACATCCAAAAGGTGGTCCACTCCGACCAAACTGACAACAGCCCCACCAAGCAACGCTGCGCAAGCAGTGTCAGTGCCCAATTTCGCCTGCCACTGCCCCAACCAGCGGCAGCCACCTGAGTCCCGCTGTTGTACTTTCACTCACGTAAACTCACGCTTAGTCACGTAAAATCACGCTCAATCACGTAAAATCACGCGACAGTGTCCACACGGAACGACATGGCAGGCGTAGCTAAAGCGCGACAGATGAGGTGGAGTGTTGTAGTACGGACAAGGTGTGACGTCATGACTTGGTGTAGTGTGACGTCATGTGACGATGTAAAGTGAGGTATAGTTGAGTTACGACGGTACAATAGTGGCGGCATAGTTATGTGGCAATACCGCGTAGTGTCCATTGTGGTTGTTATCTAAGATATAATGACGTTTTTCTTCTGGCACATAGCCCTTCAGAATGTTTTTGCTAATGACACCACATGCAAACTAAGGTCCGGTCCACGAAAATACTGAATGGAGCGAGAAATAAAACGGCTGTGCCTAGATGCTTATCTAGTTGCACGACAAAGAGCAGCGAAAACAACAATATATTTTTACTGCAACGTTAGCAGAGGAACTAATATGAAAGTGCAGCCAGTAAGGAGAGTGGTGTGTTATATGTAAAACACGACAGTATATTCAAATACACAATTAAAAAATACAGAGCTTTCGGTAACAACCACCTACAAATACAAGTAAGGACATGGGCGTAGGAACCTCACGAAAAGTGGGGGGGCCAGCGAAACTTCAATGTCACTTTGTGGGAGCCCCAATACCCCTATGAAGAAATTCTTTGCAGTTTTGTGCTCATCTCACCTTGCTGAACGATTTCCTGCTCTTAGTTTTGTATTTGAATCAAAAATAAAGATTTTACTTTGAAAAATGTCTGAAAAGTGGGGGGGCCATGGCCCCCCCCCGGTCCCCCCTGTTCCTACGCCTATGAGTAAGGAGAGTATCGCAGACTTCCGGCATTGCGATTAGTCACGCATTGACCAACGGCATTTCGAAATCCAATTATAATTCAATAAAATGACAACTGAATTCAGTATTTCAATTTCACGAGACCACAGTAGCCCCAAAACATCAGGCCTCATTTCTGGGAACACTCGCTAGTAGAGTGCCAACCAGTGTTCCGCCGGCTGAAAGGCAGCAGCACTTAGGCGAGTCTATGCCATTTGCGTCTCGTTTCCGACGCAGTTTGAAAGGCTTTGCGGACAGCCACTTTAGTTTAGAGCCGGCAAGGGAAATGGACTGATGTTTTATTAAATGGAACGAAGCGAGCTGGTTCCTTTGATGATTTGAGCCTGACTCGCACAGGGATAAGAGGTTGGTTGAGATATTCATATTCCTTTCAAGAACGGAATTTGTTTCAGTATCACGTTGATGTAAGCTGTGAAAAGGATAAGGAAAAGGATAAGGATGCTCTGCAATGTTGCATTGAACACTGGGACATAGTAATCATGCATTTTATGCTGCTTTTTCAACAGAAAGAATCATGAAACAACTACTCAAGAATAGCATAGCTTATGGTGCATAATGCATATTGCTGTCATTTCTTAACACGCGCAGTGGAAGGGTTGCGAGTACTACGCCCAGTGGAAGGGGGGGGGCGGATGTCGCCCCCCCCCCCCTAAGATCTCAGCTCCCACTGGAGCTAGAAAGACGAAATTTGGAGGGTAGGTGGGGGCGATGGGGAACTCTGTTGTGTGTGAATTTCATGACCCTAGGTCAATATCTTCAAGGTCAAATGAGGTCAAATGTGGTCAAATCTGCCATATTAGCGACTTTTTTGCGTTTACACGCCGATAACTCAAAAAGTTACCGGCCGATTTTTTTTAAATCTTTCACTATACGAAAGAGCAAACATTTGTGAGTATGTATGGTGAATTTCTAGATAATCCAACAATAAATATGGCAGTTAGAAGCCTGCTAAGGATAAGATGTCGCCGGCTGAAGCGGCATCGGCCGACGCGGGAAACGCGGCAATCAATTTTGTGTTTACACACTCATAACTCAAGTTGTTACCGGCCGATGTTCAAAATTATTTGACCATATGATTGCCCGTACATTTCTCAGTCTTCTCACCGAATTTGACGCGAATCTAATATAATCAGCGGTAAGGAGCGCGATGTAAAGACGGAACCGTCCCGCCCCGGCACAGTCTACAATTCAGGCGGCGCGTAACGGCTAGCGCCGGCCGCCGCGCCGCCGCGCCGCCGCGGCGGCAGGATGTTTGACTTTACACCGCTATTACTAGAAAAGTTGTGAACCGATTTTCTTACTTATTGCACGAGAAGATCCGCAATTCAATTCTGGACAGGTAGCCGAAATTTCACATTGATATTATGCTTGCGACGCGAGTTATTGGCGAAAAACAGGAGGGGTGGGCGAAATCCGCCCCCCCCCCCCTTCCACTGCGCGTGTTAAATAACCACGAGGTCCAGTATTTTTTTTTTCAAGTGTGACTCAAACCATCGTTAAATCTGACTCAGGAGGGCAACCGCTGCCCTAATGAAAAACCTGCCTATGAAAACCCTATCCCATTGTGCAATAAATGACGCTTTCCCAGTTCCCTTAGTTCCCCTAATGTGTGGCAACCTCTAGACTGAAATCTGAGGCTAAATTGGGAGCCATTTAGAACCGATGAAATGCCATTGGAGTAATTGTCAGGTAGTGAGATGTAATTGGGCTGAGATATTAGTACGAAATGCAAATGGGCCACTGCAATTACCTTATGGATATTACTGATGTATGAACGATATTACATCTGTTATTAAATAACGGCATGATCCATTGCGTCAATTTATTAGAGGCGAATGCAAATGTGACGCGTAAATGCCAATTAAAATTGCGAAACCAATGATATGGCTGCAGAGGAGAGATATATGCAGTTTCCTCGGCGCAAACATACCTATAGATAAAGTAAAATATTGGCTATTTTCTCTTTGCCATTTGACATCATGTTCATTGTTCATTGCATTCTATGTGGAGAAATAACTATTTTCGTGCTTATTTCAGATAATGCTCCTGCATATAAATGGGCCTAAATTATCGTTTTTTTGTGAATTATTATTTGACTACTGTCGAACACATGAAACACCATCATTTTGCTATTATGAAGTGGTTCAATAAGTGCCCAAGCACTACCGTTCCGTATACAATAACCCAAGTTTGTCACGCTTGCTCGTATGACGTACCCTATACACCGTCATGCAAATTTCTCATTCAAACGCTGCCGCATTGGACATTCTTGTGGCCCCAAACAGCTTGGAACAAGATTTGCTTTTTCGTATTCCATCTGCCCGTTGCAGCTGCATACATCGTTGCGGTTTAAAAACCAGTATCAGTATTCAACATGGCTAGCCTAGAATACCTAATCTGAGAAAATATTTCGTTGCTGTTTGGTCTGAAGTTGTATGAATGAGTCTGACTAGAAAACATTACCTCACTTACTAGAAACCCAGTGAAACTTTCTCACAAAATCCCAGTCTGGGCACTAGACAAGTGAAAAGTCATGCTTTTCAAAGTTATTTTGTACATGAGATATCAACATCCTTGTGATACCATCGCAAATAAAAATGGACACCGGTCATGCTAACGAGCTTCCACTTCTTCACTAGCTCATTCATTCATTCATTCATTTATTCTAGCGGGTGGCTATGTATTCATTGAAAGGTCATTCATTCATTCGTTCATCCATTCATTAAAACTTTCATTCATTCATTCATTCATTCATTCATCAAAACATCCTTTCATTCATTCATTCATTCATTCATCCATTCATTAAAACTTTCATTCATTCATTCAGTCATTCATTCATTCATTCGTGACTCACCTAACATGGCCACTGTGTAGCCCGGAGGCGCCCGCAGAGTCCGCTGACACCATGCCTTTCTGATGACCTCTAGGTGACCTGGGGCGGCGGTGACCAGTAGAAGACAGGGTCGCAACAGGCCGACTAAGGTCAACCGCCTCAGGGCGGAGAGCAGTGCTGGGCTCCAGTAGGTTTCTAGGTTGACTGACAGCCAGGCCTGTGGAGGAGATAAGAGGGATGGTGTGGGTTCGGTAAAGGTTTTTTTGCGTTGAAAAAAAAAACAAAGGGTTGAATTTTACTTAGATTAAATCAAGATTACTAGAACATAAGGTTGGACAAATTGTGACATGGATGATGGAATATACTAAACATGGCATTCGCAAACGATAAGAACTTGCATTTTGAACAAGGTTTAGGAGACAAAAAACAGTAATTTGTTTCGAAAAAAGGAATTCATTACCACGAACAGAAAACTGCGTTGATTAATAGCCATACCACTGCAGAAGGTAAGATGGAAACGTGCAAGTTCACGTCCCTGAAGTACGAAAGGTGCCAAAGTGTCCCATAAGTAAGATATTTCAAGATTCACAAGACATTTCGACAGATTCGAATTGCCTAAGACTATTATTGCCCTCAAAATCAGAACCTGCACCAGATGCTAATTCACGGTCACTGGAACAGGTCACCGGAAACGATCATGCGACAACTTTGTGAAGGTTTTCTACAAGTTTTACATCACTGCTATGACGGAATATACCTCCATTTTTAAGCATTCCTGGGATGTTGCAGCACTTGGCATAGCGGCCCAACAATACGACATCAACATTCATCAATGATTGACTGGCATGATGGCTGAGTCTGGTGCTTGGTTTATCTATAGAGATCAGTCAAAGTTCACGTACCGCAGAACATCTGAACCAAGCGCTATCAATATTTGCATCACAATCTTCTTGATATACGTCAGAAAGGTGAAAGTTTACCTTGAAAACTGCGAAACCGTCCTCATCCGCCTCCAGTGATGACCTTTGGTCAGCTGATCGACATGACCTTGACCCCTGTGACCTCCGCAGGTCAATAACCAGACACTTGTTCAGTAGATGGCGCTGGTCAATGTGATCTGACATGACCTGAAACATGGATGGGAGGAGAATCAGGTCAATGGAAAAATGGAAAAAGGCGTCTGTTTCAATGGAAAAAGGCGACGTTAGACGGCAAAGTAAGCTAGCATCTGAAAACCAAGGGACATTATAGCATAAAAAACAAACAATGTATCGCGACCTTCGTACACCGCTGCCGTGTTCCGACCTAAACCGGCAGCTTTAACGCCAACAGAGCGATGCGCCATTTAGCAGCGTTATTCCTTTTTGTTTTTTGACGATCGTTGCGCGCCCCAGTGCGCCGCAAAAGCTAGTACGCAGTAGGGTGGCACTTAAAATCATTTTTTATTTTTTAATGCGTGCGGGTGGTTTTCCGGTTCCATTCCCGTAAAAAATAAGGGAGGCAAATTTGTATGGAAAAATATTGATGTTTAGAGGTCGCGAATCAAGGTCAAAATTGAGATTTTGGTAGCAGATTTCAATATCATTAAAATCGTTTCTGACTTTCCTATTACGCTGTAATCGGATGATAATAAGGCATTTCTTAGTAATTTTCATATTGTTTATTGACATTTCATGCAGCTTCAGTCACACCGAAACGCTGGTCTATGTACTCCACTACTCCAGTTCCTCCTCTTTAGTAGATAGATTATTGGCGCCTCATTGGAGGGAGGGGCATCATGGGCAACGGGCACCCAGATCACTTTGTGTGTAGCCTGGTTAGCAATTTGCAGTCGATCTTCGGGTGTCAGGATAGCCTTTTCTGTTATCTTTTCAACGACATGGAGGAAGAACTGGCGCTAATCTTTGTCTTTCATGAGTGCCAGTCCTACTTCAGCGCCATACTGCGCCTGGTGAAGTCATTCACCATACGCAACTCCCGGACTAGTTACACGAGCTGCGGTTTGGTAGCTGCTGTCCTCCCAGTGGCCTTGGTCATTGATTATGAGCCCCGCGTCCAGGTCGTGGATCCTTGAGAGCTTTTTGAATGATGGTGTGAGGAAGCTCGCCAACGTCTCGGTCGCGAGAGCGGCGTTCATAGTGTCCACTAAGGACTTATGGGGCGGGTCCTCGTCCTCCCTCTCCTACAAGTCTATTGCCCGCACCATGTCTTGATTAAGCCCGAGGGTCGGGGTCTAAAAGCTCCAGTCACCAGCCGATCGCTCAAGTACTACAGGTGGCGGCTGAAGACCGGGACTGTCGCCTTCGACAGCTCCTTTTCGGGGTAGGTGCAGAACGAGTTAACGAAGGTCAGGTCCAGAGCCGGCGCAGTGGCAGTAGAGTCCCAAACCAGGCGGCGGCGGCGGCGGCAAACTTGCAGGCAACGGACAGCGCACAGCGTCTGATGACCTGGGCCTCGGCGGCCGTCAGCCGGAGCCGCTCCTTGAAGAGGAAGGCATCCACAGTGCGGATGGTCTTTGCCATCCACCTAACTCAGTGGAGTACTCTGAGGCGGAGAAACGGATGCCGTGCTTGGAACAACTCCACCGAGAGCAATTACGCAGAGCTCCAGAAGTTTTCGGTAGTATTCCCGGAGCTAGGCATAGTCCAGCGATGGAAGCGATGGAAGCTGACCAGCAGCTCGTCCCACTCCGGAACGTCGTCGACGGCGAACGCCATCGATGTGATCCTGTCATATGAACTCCCACCCGCCTTTGAACCTCTTAAACAGCCGGATGTAGTTAGAGGCCGCTCGAGATTCTAGGGCAGGTGGAGAAGGCCTTCTCTAGGACCAGCTCTTACACGTGGTGCCGGCAGGCCAGCTGGAGGACGGGCCGATTCAGCTTCTGCTCGATACGGGCTTAAGTACCGCTCACCAGCATGCTGTTCGCCGTCGTGGCGTCGAAGTAAAAGGCCGCAAGTTCCGCTTCTCCAGTTCTTAGTCCCCCAGCGCTGTGAGCATGGCCTCCTGTGCTTGGATGGAGGGGAGGTTGGGAGCGGCGAGGAGCTTGGCCACCCCAATCCCTCCCCCCTCCCCATCACCAGGACGTAGAATCGGTCGACGCTCCTTCTCTCGCGATTCAGGATTCGCGGTTCAGCCGGAGTCGCATCCTAAGTTCCATGCCGCAGTTGATAACAGGCTCACGTGTTCTTCACACATTACGGTTGGGCAGTTTGGCCCGGTCGAGGCCAGTTCACTGTTGGGGACGTCCGCTCGCCCGCATGCGCTTGGGAGTGTGAGTCGGCGTTTCTCTCTCATGGTCGCCATCGTCAAAGACGTTCCCTCCGTGTGCGCGCCGCAGCGGCCAGGTAAGTCTGTTGCTGGCAATGGCACTAGATTCGGGAGAAGCGCCCACGGAAGAACATCCCGAAAGCACAATAAACCAGTGCAGCTCAATGCACACTCTCGCCTCTGCTTTTGCCCGCCGGCTATAGACTGACTCCAACTTCTTAACATTCTCTTTGACAGAAAAGGAGCATGTCTCAAGAATCGATAGAACCGTGGGGCTTGTCCTCCCTTTGGAACAGGAGAGACCGATCACTCCTCACACTAATCAGAGGATATGACCTCCACTGTGAGAAGGCACC